TAATGAAAATAGTGAGTTTGAATAGTATCAAAGAGTTGAATGTTAGAATGTAAACAAAGATTTCTCCTTCTGGACGTGTTGCCATACAAATTACTAAGGGGCTGCGTCAGCAGGATACAGCCAAGCTTACTAGCGGCGGTCAAAACTTTTGGTGCACGCCTCCGTACATTATTAGGATACATGACAAAGGAACAGCAAGGTGCAGAAAGTAAGAGCAAGCCGGTGGAAAGAGACGTAACATGGTTGATGGATCAGATGTTCCCATACAACTCCAGTCATTGGAGGATACCTTAATCAACCCACGAAGTACTCTGTACCGATGGAATGGTAACCAAATTTGTGGAACTTGGACTATTATTTACTATTGCCGACTGAGATAGTCTAATGTTCATACCTTAGTTTACTTTATTTTGCTATGGAAGAGTTACTAGATGGCAGTTCGTACTTAGGTGGTTATATTAGTGTGCTCTTCCACTGCAGCAAGATTACTGATGGATGATCATATGGGGGTTCTTCTACGGGACTTGTAAGATGTTACTAACTTTGGTCCACATATATTACCTTCAAAAGGGGTACGTTACCATACAGAGTGCAAGAAAAGTAAAATTAATATGTGGAACTTAGTGCATGATGTTAAAAATAGCAATATCTGGGAAAATAGCCTCACATTGATGATTGTTATTTTCCTGTCCACAGAGTAGTGTATAGAGTACAGTAGTCACATACCCCTGGTATATTATTGGATCATCAACTAAGAGTCTGTAAGGGACCCTAGTCATGTAAATATCTACATTAGATACTACTTTAATTATAATGATCATGATCTGTGTATTCCTGGATGTTTATATACTAAAAATGCACCTGGTTAAGTTTTTACCTTAGGATGTGATGTTATTGTAATTTTCTAGTATATATGGCAACATATGGTAGCAATATTATACAAGCTTGGAATTAGTGATGTGGATAATGGGACCAGTGGCTGTGTTTCTTAGATCAAATATACTTATCATATTGGGAGTTTTGAATACATTGAATTTTCCTGCAGGTACTGTACTTAAGTTCTACTATCAAATCATGGTAGTTTCATAGCAAGGCTAATGCTCTGAGGACAGAGCCCACCCATTACTACTAGAAAGAATAAAAGCGATAACAGATATCTGCAAGTACTGCGGATGTTATTTTTGTACACTTCCGAGTGGAAAGGAATGGAGACCAGCATAGTAGGCGGCTAGGGAGTACCAGGGGTAGACTATTATTTAGTTACCTGTTCTGTATATAGCAACACTTCAGCTAACTCACACAATCCATCTGCGTTTATTTTTAACCCCCACTACTATCTATCCAGCATGATAGCGTCGGCACCAGCACTTTGTAGAGGGATAGGTAGCTCTCCACTCTTATGTAGGCCAACTGTCAAATGTTTGTTTCGGATCGAGTTGGGGTGAGACATTCCAGCAGATGTGTGTGTATGTGTGTGGCTACGAGGCGCAGACGCTGCAGCAACCACTGGTTGTTGGCCACTTCCTGACTTCCTCACTTGAATAAAGAAGGATGGGAACGCCATCGCTCCATTCTGTAGCAGCTTCCCTGGTCCTGTGGGTGGGTCTATCCTGTAACACGGCAACATAAAACATAACAGCTCCCCCTCCTCTTAGCTTGTTGATCCTATGTCAACTCAACTACCCTCTGCCTTTCATTATCAACCCCTCCCTTCGCTCGTTCAGTTGCTTGCCTTAAAAACCACTCATCCATCTATTCAAACCTCACAGAACATCGTGAACAATTCAACAGCTGTCGATAACTAATATCTGCCTCCACCTCTACCTTAGGGCAGTCTCATTAACTCTATTCCTCGTTGGTGATTGATTACTCTCATCACCCAGATTTCTTGCCTTCTTTCTTTTCCGGTCTTTTCGGTCTCCTCACTCAGGTAAAAAGCTTCCTCTGGGAGTCCTAGTCTTGCCTTACAACTTCTCCGAGCCCATCCAACTCTACCTGAATAGTCTTCCACGATGTGGTATGTCATTTTAAATAGACCTCTATTTCCTTTTCAAGATAATTAATATACGGCCTGTTAACGTGATTCAGTGGCATCTTCGGCTATATCAATTACCTTGTCGAGAGAGACCGTAAATACATCATTGATACGTTGCTCAATGGTATGTGACTCCCCTCCATTTGCTCTGATAGCAATCTTACAGTCATGAAATGCAGGACTCTCCAGACTTGAATACCGCGGTTACGACTCGGCAGGCTTTGCGGTGGACGGTGACAGAAAGAACGAAGTTTGCGCCTTCAAGGAAGTTGGTAAGGTCGCGAAACTGAAGGAGCTCATTGAGGAATCCAAGCCCGACATGACGAAGACTTTCGAGTCCCACGCTGGTATTGCTCACACACGCTGGGCTACTCACGGAACACCCTCTCGCCAGAATTGCCACCCTCACCGGTAAGTGCATCACCGGTCTCAGCAAGTCATTTGGCATTGAACTGGCAACCATAAGTTGCGGTCCGTTGGCTAAACTAACGCATATTTTGTCCGACAGGTCTGATCCAAACTGGGAATTCGCAGTTGTTCACAACGGCATCATTACGAACTACAAGGAACTCAAAGCTCTTCTAGAGAGCAAGGGGTTCCGGTTCGAGACTGAAACTGACACCGAATGTATTGCGAAGCTTGCGAAATACTTGTACGACCAGCAGCCCGACATTGAGTTCACAGTCCTCGCCAAAGCTGTTGTGAAAGAGCTCGCGGGTGCTTTTGGTCTCCTCATTAAGTCTGTCCATTACCCTCATGAGGTAATTGCGGCTCGCAAGGGTTCTCCGCTCGTCATCGGCGTGAGGACGTCAAAGAAGATGAAAGTGGACTTCGTCGACGTGGAGTACTCGGAAGATGGACCACTTCCCGCTGAGCAGGCTTCTCAGAACGTAGCTATCAAGAAGTCTGCTACCGGGCTTCTGGCTCCACCTGATAAATCCCTCCTGCACCGGTCGCAGTCGCGTGCGTTTCTTTCAGATGATGGCATTCCCCAGCCAGCAGAGTTTTTCCTGTCTTCTGATCCCTCTGCGATCGTTGAGCACACAAAGAAAGTGCTTTATCTCGAAGATGACGATATCGCCCATGTCCATGAAGGCCAACTGAATATCCACCGTCTCACGAAGGATGATGGTACCTCGAACGTGCGCGCTATCCAAACCATTGAGATGGAGCTTCAGGAAATTATGAAGGGCAAATTCGATCATTTCATGCAGAAGGAAATTTTTGAACAGCCCGAGTCAGTTGTCAATACCATGAGAGGTCGATTGGATGTTGCAAACAAGCAGGTCACACTTGGGGGGCTTCGGCAGTATATTTCCACTATTCGTCGCTGCAGGCGAATCATTTTCATTGCTTGTGGAACCAGCTATCATTCATGCATGGCCGTACGTGGTGTCTTTGAAGAGCTCACTGAAATCCCCATATCAGTTGAACTTGCCTCGGACTTCTTGGACAGGCAGGCGCCTGTTTTCCGGGACGATACTTGTGTCTTCGTCTCCCAATCGGGTGAGACTGCCGATTCGCTCATGGCTCTTCGCTATTGCCTTGAACGAGGAGCATTGACTGTCGGCATTGTCAACGTCGTGGGATCTTCCATTTCTCTCTTGACTCACTGTGGTGTGCATATCAATGCTGGTCCTGAAATTGGCGTTGCTTCCACCAAGGCATATACGTCCCAGTTCGTTGCCATGGTCATGTTCGCACTCTCTCTGAGCGAGGATCGCGCTTCGAAGCAAAAGCGACGGGAGGAAATCATGGACGGTCTTTCGAAAATCTCAGGACAGTTCAGAGAGATCCTGAAATTGAATGAACCCATCAAACAGATGTGCGCGAAATTTTTCAAGGACCAAAAGAGTTTACTTCTTTTGGGCAGAGGCAGTCAATTCCCCACGGCTCTCGAAGGTCAGCATTACAGTATCCCCACTTGAGGTATTTCGGACGCTAATGGCTTCTGCAGGAGCACTCAAAATCAAGGAAATATCGTATCTTCATTGTGAGGCGGTCATGTCCGGTGAGCTGAAACACGGCGTCCTTGCTTTGGTCGACGAGAATCTGCCCATTATCATGATTCTTACGAGGGACAATATCTTCTCAAAATCTCTGAATGCTTATCAACAGGGTGAGCTATCTTTCCCCCCTGTCTTCGTCTTAGATAGCTCTAACCATTCACCAGTGATTGCTCGCGGTGGTCGCCCCATTGTGATTTGTAACCATGACGATCCAGAGTTCTCTTCCGCCCAGACCGAAAAGATTGAGGTTCCAAGGACCGTCGACTGTCTGCAAGGACTTCTCAACGTTATTCCACTGCAGCTTATTGCCTACTGGCTTGCTGTTGGCGAGGGACTCAACGTTGATTTCCCGCGCAACCTCGCAAAATCGGTCACTGTTGAATAAATCAGCATATCACCCATGGTATGTAGGGATCGTGGATCTGGCACATGAGTTGTTAGAGAAAGAATGGTTCTGGTATCTTTGTTACATTGTTCACTTTACACATTCATACACCCGGTGAATGAGAAGAAGTGGTACGGTTATTGTTGTGTAGATGCTAATCTTATCGACCTCTGCTCAAATTATCATGCTGGTCATTTTGACTAAAGCCGCATCTGGGACTCTCATGGCATTGTTTACATCCAGGAACAATATATCCCTTTAGTATATGTTTAGTCGCATGACACCGATATTCAGTGGTTCGCAGATCAGTATTCTAAAGCTAAAGCGCTTGTAAGGAAGCACACATTTCGCACCTTGCACTCTATATATAGGTTTTGCTGGAAATTGCATAGGTTGGCTCATGGGTACAGAGTAGCTCCCTGTAATTTCCCACCAAGCGGGGAATCGGTGTCGCTGACTTCCAGTTCTCCACAAGACTTTTGTATTCCAAAGAACCCCTCCTCCTAACGAACCACCTGTTTCCCCAAGCCATCGACAACGAACTTTCAGAGGAAAACACCCGTACTCAAAAATGACATCAGTGAAAGGGCCAGGGGCTGCTCAAGCTTTTGATGGTGAGGGATTCATCTATATTCCGTGACGCGGTTTGCTTATGCTTCCTCTCCCTCTCCGAAGGCTCTGGGCTTCGCGTTGCCATAGTTCATGCCAGATGGAACATGGCAATAATCGGGCCCCTTGTGGAAGGGGCAAAAAAAAGCCTTTTGGCAGCCGGAGTACTTGAAGAGGATATCACTCTTGAGACAGTGCCCGGCAGTTACGAATTACCCTTTGCTGCTCAGCGGTAAGACATCGCGATTCCAAGCGCATTACGGAGACACAGTCATGTGTTCTGCCTTCCTGTTATAAGCCTATCTGATCCGAGATCTCTACCAGAATGTACGCAGCCTCGCAGCTCCAGGCCGCCAAAGGATCATCATCCGCAGGAGGGATCAGTGCTACGGATTTATTATCGTCCTCTACTGCAGACCTGAGTAAGACGTCGCCAACCTCGACTGCATCTAAGCCTTTTGATGCCATTATTGCTATCGGTGTTCTCATCAAGGGAGAGACAATGCATTTTGAGTACATTGCGGATGCGGTGTCTCACGGGTTGATGCGTGTCCAACTTGATACGGGCGTGCCAGTCGTTTTCGGAGTGCTCACTGTTCTGACGGAAGAACAAGGCCTGGAAAGAGCTGGTCTTGGCAAGAAGGGAATGCATAATCATGGCGAAGATTGGGGTAAAGCCGCCGTGGAACTTGGTTTGAAGAGAAGAGACTGGCTAGAAGGGAAAATCGTTTAGTCTCACGGCAATTAGCAAAAGTAAATGGCTTCATGACGGAACCAGAGGTAGGCGCAGTTACAACACCCGTCGCTCGACAGGCAGAGAGTGAAAGGCCCCAAAAACACCATTGGGCCTAAAATACGAGTGGCGATAATTAACCCCTTGGCCACCCTAACGAGATCTGATTATCCTTGTATTGTATTGTCGGGTAGTGATCTTCAATTTGCGAATCTATTCCTCCATTCGCTCGCCTTCATTGCCATCATTCTTTGTCGTCTCTTCCTCGTCCTCGTCTTCCCCCTCCAAAGCTCTCTTCGCTGCCTTTTCGGCCTCTTCAAGAAGTTCCCTAGGTACCTCTTCGTGCTTCCCTTTGGTCGGACCGTCTAATGAGCTGATCCAAGACATCTCCAACTCAAACTCCTTATCCTTGCTGTCTTCGTGGGCCACGTATATGATTCGGGCGGCTTCTCTGACGGCATCGAGCAGAGTCAACTTTTCGGAGGCAAGGTCCAACTTCTCAAGTTCAGCTTTCGCTGCCTGTCTTCCCTTGCCAGTGGCCGCGCCATAGTAACCCTTATCAAGTTAGCACGAGAAAGGAAGTTGAACGTCCACAATCATCTTACCCAGTACAGCCCACTGGGCTCGATCATATAAAGACCCGGCCCACCAACCTTCGCACCTGAAATTTTACCGCCGGAACCCGAAGCCGGTCCGGTTCCTACTTGACCATCAACAGCAAGTTCGGTTTCAGAATCCCAACCTCCGACAATAGCTGTAACTCCAAATGGTCGTACACTGGAGTAGAGAGTGTAAGCTTGGACATAACTGCCAAGACGATTGGCCAGGGCGGAGATCGGGATGGGCCCTTTGTATACGCTTCTCCACGAGGAAGCTTCGTCTCTAGCTCGCGAGACGAAGTGACGACCATCTGGGACTAATCCCGCTGAGACCTGGGACAAGCGCATATATGAATTAGCACGCATTGATTCGCAGCAATGAGACGATGCTCCGTCAACATCAAACATTATTGTTGCCTTACAATGCCCACATGGCGATCCACTGTCGCGATCTTCTTATTCGCACCTGGCTTCAAAAGCTTACTCGTGACGATCTTTTCTACCGCCAGGACAACTCCGTCCTTGCATCTAATACCTATAGCTGTCCCTCCATTTTCGACCGCCTTGACTGCGTATTCCACCTGCCGGGTGTATGAGTACCTCCTAGCTCGGCAGATGGAGTATATCAAATACCTGGAAATTGCGACCGTCTGGAGAAAAGACGGAGTTCGATAGATCATATCCAGTACCGATAGATGTCTATAATGGAGTTGAAGTCAGCTTCTTGGATATTTTAACGTCAGCAGAGGAGAGAGGGACTGAACCATAGCTGTGACGTTGGACCGACAACCACAGGTGAGATGAGAGCAGTGGCAGGAAGGTGAGTATCAATAAATGAGACCAATATTCAGGCAGGAACAAATGACAAGTAGAAGAGAGGTACGGTGAAGGCAATGGGTCAGATGTCAGTGATATAGGAGAGGTGCAAGATAAGATATGGCAGCAGTATGTGCAAGCTAACTTGCTGACTCCAAAGACGTGGGTGCTAAGGTAGGTAGCTGTGATCGCGTCACGGGGTTTCTGCCTATCACTACTGTACGTAGGTACAAAAGGTTATTATCACATGATATTATGATGTATATAAGAAAATAATGCACATAAATATGACTAATACTTGCAATTATACTACGTAACTTTGCAAGCCTATCTTAATAATAATGCTCATGGCACTGCAAGTCTTAAAGACCGATGGAAATAGTTCCAAGGTAGTCGAGAGATATCGATATTTTACCAGCTTTTCCTTCGATAAGACTCATGACCTATGAGAGGGTGTGTGTCCTCTATTATATAGGCGAAGTTCACCACAAATCTCTAGCATTTAGCTTATGAGTCTGTTCACTGCGCATGAAGCAGAAGATACCCTGCTTTTGTTGATTGTATTCTGTACAAGCCCCCCGCTTTAAGTAAACTCACCTTGTTGCATGCCCAACCTGTTGCTTCTAGTCCCAATTTCTTAGGCATCCAATGAACTATATGGACCTCTTATCGCCTTCAAAAGTCCTTCAATCTCCTTGATTCCAACCATTCTCTTTTCAATCCCTGGTCTCTGCTTGGTGGTGGTCATCAGTTCGATTCCAGTCTCTGTCTGTCAGACTCGGTAGACAAATTAATCATATACTACGCATATCCCGCCCTCACGCCTGCTTGACGTTCCATAAACGCTAGACGGTATTGTCGATTGATCTCTTTTCTGCCTACACGTCGGCCAGCATTCCTGAAATGTCCTCCTCTATTCTGCACACTTGTACCTTTTGCGGAAAAATCACAGACGTGTCTACCGCGCTAGCTGTATTCATTATGAACCCTTGTTGTACAGAGGTGGGGATCTTTCCTTGCCCATCCTCAGTCTGAGCTCCTGACTAGTGACGGATTCAGTGTGGCCTATCGGCGTCTGAGAGTAATATTGCAATGCAGAGCGACCTTGCGACGCTCTTTGCAAAACAGATGAGCATGGGGTCTGAACCACCAAAGGACAAAAAGGTCCTCCGTCCGATCGTTTATAGTATCACACAGCACTACCATCATTCCTCGCATGTGGCGCGCCAGACAGCAACGGAGCTCATGGACTTAAGTTGATGCATTTGATCGGCAGGAGGGGCTTCATTGCTCAATATAGCTGAATTGTGATGGAAGTGACTCTTACATCTCCAACCCCTTCATCTAGGAGCCACAGTTGGTGTTGATTTCCGTCTGTTTATAGGTATTGATTCTTGAACTTGGGTCTATTAAGCGGTACCTTGGGATGCACCTAGGTGGCGCAACTCTCTCAAAGCCCATATAATAATCAAGCATCGGGAACTTATCCGTACAACCCCATGGCATCGAACAACCACAAGAGAATAGCCCATATAAGTTCCGGTAAAGTCACTTCACGAGTAACTCCATGAATTCACATGTGGTAAGAGCTTAGAGATATGACTTTGTGAATTATGCTTCACTGTATTGCCCTGCCCTTGTTCATCTGACGTTATCAGCGCGGATTTATGCCCTGTATCGCTCACACTTTGTTCCTTTGAATTTATCTAGGGGAATAAATCTTGTTAGTATAACTGTAGGGACTGGCTATCCTACAGGGGCCTGTGGCAGTGGACATGATGAATTGTAAGCCTGTACATTACAGATATGTTCAGAGTGCAGAGTTGCTCACAATCCATGTATTAACCCTACAGCTTCCACTTGGGTTCTTCTGTCTTAGTGGAATCGATGCTGTTATAGATTTCCATGCCCATGGTATGAAGCTAGGACATACCTGGGAGTCCTGATAATTGACATTATTTCCCACATTTTCCCTTCTGCAAGCCCATTTCTATGTTTTGGTTGCTGAACCCCATCAAGTTTATCTCTGGATATACCAGGATTATCAGATCTGACCTTGGTGAAATATCCAATAAATATCCAAATCAGGGTCAGGACGTATCCCCTTGGAGAGCTTGATCACCAAGGTAGTAGGTATTATTCCTGTACCTCTCATAGTGGCAGCCTATCTGGCCACGTACATTTATGCAGTCCTGCACTGCTGGTTATGAATACCTTTATGGCGTTGAAAAGTTGTCCCAATTGAAGCAATCTACCTGAGTTATCCTGCTTTGTGTATTTTCTGGTAATCTTGGGAGGCAGAATTCTAGAGGCCATAACAATGAGAGTCATTCCTGTCTGTCTAAATTCTCATGCTACTGCACCTATGCACTATCCCCAATGACAGGCACTAGTTAAAGTTAAAGAACACTATAATTAGCATAAGGTTAATTAATGTGCACTGTTACTGTGATGTCCAGCACCTGAGGAATTGGATTATTTGACAAAAGACTACAGTCTTGTTTTTCAGGACTTTGTGATATGGCTTCTTACAAACATCACATCTTAATCCGTGTGATTTACCACAGGTCAAACAAGTTCACATAAGTTAATGTGAGGCAAATCTTGCAGCATTTAAAAGGTATGATATATGCCAGCCCAACCATTATAAGAAGAAAGAATGACAAGTTAGTTGTCAGGCCAGGGTGCCATGGGAACACAAGGCTGTCTCGCCTTACATATGTCAAGTCCCCATGTCAAAACACAATATTAACACGAATGATTGAAAACAAAACCTCTGCTCGTCCATCAGCGTTGTGATATTTCATATTTCCCCCTCGAATTGGGCCTCCACGTAATAAGACGCTCCTGCATTTGTCCCCCACCCCAAAATTTCATCAGCCAAGTGAATAATCGTAGCCATGATCGAAGAGAACGTCGGCAGGACATGGGGCGCCAGAAATCAGCCCTGTGACAGCTCGCCTCAGTAAGGAGTCATGACCAGCCCGAGATACTCCGGGGTGTAACGTATCTCAAACAACTGCAACAGAAGTAAAGATCATACAGCATCAGAGAAGACAGGAGGGGTTCGGTAAAGAGGAAAATAAAAACACAGAAGAGAATCAAACTGGTCGAAGGAAGAAAACTCATTGGCGGAAGACCGCAAGGGGTAATACCAACTTTTCCTATTCCTTCTCAAAAGCAGCCATGGAATCAGCAAAGGCATCGGCAGAGCGCTTCACCTCTTCAGCGGCCTCTGCAGCTCTCTTCGCCTTGGCGCAACCCTGACCAGGAAGATGGCACCACGGAGTCTGCGGGAAGGCCTCCGCAACGGCCTCAGCGACGGCACTGGCTGAACGTCTGACCTCATCCGAGGCATCAGCAGCGCGCTTAAGCATGTAGCAACCCTGACCAGGAAGATGGCACCACGGCGTAACGTTTGCCTGGACAGCAGTGGCAGCGAGGGTAGCGAGAACGAGCGAGAGGAGCTTCATCTTCGATGATCAAATGAAGTGGAGATATAGAAAGGAATGCGTCACTGTAGGTCGCAAAGTAAAGCCTGGATTTGAATTGGAATTGACGACTTTGATATCTACGAAGAGATCGATTCGAGGCAGGTCTCATTCGCTTTAAGTAGGCGCATGGTACAGAGACCTTGCCAAATGCAACGCATGGAGATGCATTCCCAAGGCTTGAGTGATTCTATCCAAATCTGGTGGGAAAGCTGTGAAGCAGGTGAATGAATAAGAAGTGTGGATGTATGAATAGATCTCAATTAATAGCAATCACAAAAGCACACCCTCAATAAGAGTCAGCCTTTGTGTTATTAATTCATAGTTTTGAAGTAACATTGAGATTGACCAGGATTTATCCAGGCCAGTTATTCACCTAGAAAATCTGTTATCATGATGAATGAAAATGTGAATAGCAGGTGATCAAGGCACTTATGTGCAGTCAATAGTGTCAATAGACATTTCTTAACCAAAAAGGGCCATCAATAAAGTTAAGCTCCTCAATAAACTTTTGCATCATCTCATTCTTTCAGCGGTATTGGAGAGGTTTTGAGGTTGGTCGATAGACTGCTAGGACATTAAATATACTCGGAATGGACTGCAACAGACGTGGTTAAGGGACAGAGGACTATCCTCTTGGGTACTGCAGAGGCATAATGATCTCTCTACCCAACAAGCCAAGAAAAAGAACTTTTGATCTTGATGCATCTCTGTATGGAGTACTCTTACCTGTACTTAGCTTAGCATTTGTACCAATGAACTGTCAGTGTTTGGTGATAACTTACAGATTACAGAGACTCTTCTTTCTCGTTTCTTCTTATTCATTGTAAATAATCAACGCATTATTACCTATTTCTATGTTGAGCACTGATGATATTATGACACGGAGAGGGGGAAAGATAAGATCGGGCCGTGTTCTGAGACAGGCACTGCACAAATAGTACATAGAGAGGACGGAGGACGGAATAGACACCTTACCTGATGGACGCTGAGATGATCCGCCGTTTTTTCCGGTGCCTCCTTCTTCCTCGTGGCCGTGCACCTCGTTTTCCAACTCCATCCGTTGTTTTGCCTGCGTGTTTTCTCGCTCACCAGGGAACAATTCTTTTCATCTCCTTTCTTCCTGTCCATTTTCTTTTCTTGTCCATTGCCTTGCAAAATGTTCTCCTTGCGGACGGCGCAGCCCGCGCAGGTTAGTGAGACCCAACGTCCGATAGATTGTGTGGCTCGTGGTCGGGCTTTTTCTCATTTCCTGTCCCATTTTCCCCTTCTCTTTCTGGCTACTTCCCTCCGCCCGGCAGCAGCATTGCAGCCGCATTGCAGCAGCTCCTTTCATTCCCCGTGCTTCGACGTCGTGTTTTTGTTAATTAAAGCTAATTTTTTTTCTATTCTGCAGGCTCTCCTCCGCCGCGCAGCTGGTGCAGGCTCTCTAGTGCACTCCTCGATCCCAGCAAGATGTA